GGTTTTGCACAGATCTTCTGAAAAACCAGAAAAAATTGAAAATCGGAAATTGAAATCTTTTGCAAATTCGTTTTGCTTTCAGAAAGATAGGTTCAAGTCTTGGCCATCGAATGGTGAAAACCGCAAGCCTCTATCTTTTATTCCTTGAATTATTCAAAAAATAATGACCAGCCTTGCTTTTTGGAACGGATAGTAGTTAGAAATACATGGAACAAAAGCTTTTTTGTCTTATTTTCGTCCCGTAGATAATTCTCTTATATATTTTATAATTTTCTGTGAACAAGATTTTTCCCAGCGTGGTGGTACAAGAAAATGTTTGCCAAGTATCTAATATTATCCATTCATCTATTTATCTTAATATTTTCCTAGTTTTTTAAAGCTCAAATGTTAATACATCGTACAAAATAGAGAAAAATTCTTGTTTTCTAGTTCAAGATGTCTTGAATACACTTAGAATGAAAGGATAGAAAGTTTGCAAGCCAAACCAAACGCAACGTGCTGAACGAAGAAAAATTTTAGTGAAAAGCATTTTTAATGATTGGCGATGCAGACGAGAATATAACTTCTACCCGTCTCGCAGCCTCTTCAGCAAGAAATATTTTGTACACTAAAAAAAATCTGTCTAAAAATCTAAGTTGGTTGTAGAATAATCAGGTTGATTCGTCTTATTATAATTGATCCGCCATTCGATCTTCCGTCTTATATTAAGACAAATCGACCTGATTATTTCGCAACTGACTCATGCCATCTTATTTTAAGATGGATAGACTTCTCCATTTTACCTTAACGTGAGCTATTTTTACATCTTATTATCATTATTAGCTGTTGAAGGATAGTCTTGTTGGAGAACCGTGAGAGCATCTCAAATACTGTTTTAATAAGAAATTAAAATAAAGTGACAAAGTTTTTCGAAAAGACCATTGCTCTCTATAGACTAGTAACAAACCTGAAGCAAAAGAGATGGATTTTCAAGAAATAACGACGACTTACAGGAATAAGCGTCTTAAAATAAGATGGATGAAAAGAAATAAGACGAACGAATTGAACGACGAATAATATAAGTCGGATTCTTTTTTAATGCAAAACCAGAAGAAGTAGAGAAGCCACTTTTTTTCTTTTTTCGGACAACGAAAAAAAGATTTTGTCTTCTAGGCTTGTTTCACAAAAAACCTTTTACTGTCCTCGATCACGCACATCTCTAGACCTAGTATATATCTCTATGAGTCGAATAATTCATATTTAGATTACCTGTTCATGCTTAGTATTGAACTCAATACTACTGTGTGCAGCACTACGCTTGTTAAATATTAAAATTCAACGAAATACCAACAAATACAAAACTGAAGGCTAGTAAGTATAGGGAAAATAACTAACATGATGAATTTCAAATCATTACCATTACGTTTTCATTCTAGTACAATCGATCTTTATCTAATTCATTTATTAGTACAAAATGGTTTGGCACTTTACACAACATCTGCCCTACTTTCCGCTATATATTCATCTATCGAATGTATTGGAAAAAATTTTGATTTGAATCAACCTTCGTGTGATATAATTGGATTATGCATAACTCTATTTATGCTATATATCTATTTTATTCTGGATAATTTTATTTATACCAGCGAATTTTATTATCAATGGACACCCATTCTTCTCATGATAGTTTATTCATGGCCCAAACATATTAGTCATAACTTGTTCGAAATATCAATAGTAAATTTACAATTGGTTTTGTTCATTTCGACTATTATCATGTTACTTATAAGAATTTATCGTAAATTAATTAAAGGAAAATGTCGTTGCCGTAAAAATGATAAACGAGGCATTGATAGTTATCATGAACGTGTAACAACAGAAGAAAATAATTATCAATAGAAACTGTTATAGACGTCTGAATTATGAGATGATACCTTACCGTTATCATTTCAAACTAACAACTGTCAGATAAACAGACGCCGTAGAAGAAAGCCTAACTAGACAACAAAAATTGTTAGCAACGAGTATCAATACAACGTTATTATAATTTTTATATATTACTTATTCTCTGATTTTGTGTGTTTTTTGCACTATGAGAAACAATGGTACTAGAGAAAATAACGACATGTAAGGGATTCAACAGAAATAGTCAAGTCGTATGAAGAATTTACCCATAGAGATCCATCATGAGACCTGTACTCACTTTGACTTCACTTCCATCTCTCTTGACTACGTTTTCGAGGACGATGGTGAACTTTTCTATCCACTCATAATTCTTATTCAAGCCTGTCTTGCCAATCATTTATTGATGAAGCCAATTAGTAACATAACATGAATTTCATGTCTCTAGATCATTCCAACTGTAGTTCAATCTACTTCACCCAAACCAGTAAGCAACAGCATCTCATATTCTAAAACGCGAATTATCTGCTGTTCTATTCGATATGCGACAGTCTTACGATCTAAGATAGAGCAAGTATTTCAATGAGTTAGTTCTCGTGTATAAACTTTGTATAAAAGCTATGCTTTGAACGTTCGGATATGCACCTAGCCAAGTTTGTTTAGCTGTTTTGATAGCTATAGCTTACTGAACTATTCAACTACTGTATTTCATCAGAACAAGAGTAACATCTTGCCCCATTTTACATTTTATTCCATCTTTTATCGAGTCGTTAGAAGATCATCAATTGGACTCCTTAAATGTTTAATCCATAAATTACTATGGAATACATGTTCGACAAGTTAAAACAATGATTATTACTAAAGCTCATGCTGCTTCCTCATTCTTTCATCTCACAACTGTCGAGGAGATTCTCCTATCGGAGAACATTCACTGTTGCCATTTTCCAAAACAATTCAAATGTGTCTGTAAAACTCATTGTGTCTACAAGCCTGTACTTTATTCATTTTTTTATTATTGTTGTTCTCTGGCTTTTCTCTTCACAGGTGACGGTCCTTCATCATAAGTAATCCTACTTTTTACTGCTTTTCTCATTTTTTCAAATCGAAATAAAGCTTCAGCTCATACCCATTAGTATTGGGCGTACTAGGTATGGAACAAGTTAACTGATTACTATCCATAATAAAACAGGTGACTATTGGTAACTTCAGAAACGGACTGATTATAGGTAATCAATCATGCTGAGCCTTCTGGCAATATAAATATTCAAAAATAATAAAAGATTTTAAAACCAACCGTAGTTTTGTGAAAATTAGGATTTTTCGGCTGTTTTCGCCTAATATCAAAAAATTGACAATTCACTCAAAAAACATCAGAACAACTTCAAAACTTCAGCAGATGCTTAATTTTATCCGCTAGACGCGATTTTGTAAAATGGAAAATGTTGTTTTTGTTCAAAGATTTTCTAGAAACTCTTCCGAAAAATCATAGTTTCATACATTGCTTCTCGTAGCTGTGTTACAAATAGAATATAAAATAGTCTAAGTACTGTACATCCTAAAGTTCTGAACTCGTTCTGATGTTTTTTGCCCAAATTGTGAATTTTTTATTATTAGATAAGATCACTGAAAATCGAGATTTCGCTTGACTCCCATTTTGAAGAAGACACTCAAAGCCATCGGTTCTCATGCAAAATATCAATATAATTCTACTGAAAACTTTTGAGACACAGCCGCATTTCTCCCCCAAAAAATAGATCTAGAATACTTATTTAAAAACAACATTTTGTTTATGGAAATAAGCCTCCAAGTCTCCTCTTTCGACTGACACAACGGCAGCTTATTATCTACGTCAAATAAGTCAGTTCTAAACTTTATTCGCTATGCGAATATTTAATTCAACGTATAAAATCTATCCTGTACAATAAAAAATTCATAATTAACAATAACAAAAAAAGATTTGCATTTCCAAAATCGATTTTATTGTCTTGCTGTATTTGCCGATGTATTTTCGTTTGTTACCGATGAAGTATTTGTACTAGATGTCGATTTTGAATAGGCTAAAAAAAGTCCACCACATAGACAATGATCATCTAATCTCATAGCAAGAAATGGCACAGGTTTATTTTTATAAATTCTTGAATAATTAGAACATCTTGCACATCGTCGAAATAATTGAGTAGAATTCATATTATTCAATGTAATTATATCAAATTTAGAATCGGATTGTGTTTCATCATACAATAAATTACTACCATACGATAGTCCTGATGTTGACGCTGAAATGGGTACGCCGTGTAGATGAAGTGCCCAAGGTGGAGGTCTACCACGAATAAAGACCATGGGTGTTGTTAAATTTTGAATTAAACATGGATAAGGTTTGGGAAACAAACATTCAGCTTTTGATTGTAATGTTTCAACATCGAGTATAAAAAACTCTTCTAATAATGTTTCATCGAGAATGCCCTTTTGAGCTAAAAGCCAAAAAACCAATTTCAATATATTAACAATTAAAAGAAGGAACAAGCAAGCCCAATTGTTACTTGACAATGTCGGTGATGAGGTGATCTAGTCTATCAGACTGATTTTCTTACATAGAACATCATCTACAAACAAGTTGACTTGAAGAGATTGTCATTACATTACTAAAAATCCTCAACGATCATAAATCGCACTAATCTGTCAATAATATAGTCTTTCTCGCACATTATCGTGTACTAGTTCTTCATTTCCATCATAACTTACATTCAATTTTTACACTCATTTTTGTCAATGTATTATAAATATCTTTTAAAATTTCTTTATTTTGATCATACGGTTGAAAACATGCTATTTTACTAAATTGTATTCTGCCCATTTTATGTAACACATAAAAATAGATCAGAAATTCTCTTAACCATTCCAATTGTCTTTGATCATTAAAAAATTGTTTACACGTTAACCATACAGGCGTTTGTTGTTGTGGTAACTGAATATAGCCAATTATGTAGATAATTATGTCAAGAATCCAATTTACTAGCGATGTATAAGATGGCAATTGGTAATAGCGAATATCCATCTGTGATTGTTGTTGTTGATCGTTCATTTTCACTTTTTTCATGTCAATATTAGGAAACATTTGTTGAGGTGTTTGATGAATTAATTCTTGAGCAATGTCAACAAAATTACGCGCTTGTTGTTGTGGTTGAGTTGCATCATAGGTTATCAATTTCATTAAATCACGAGTAATTAGTAACACATGATAAACACCTACAAGAAAATAAATAACGTAATTTTATTTTAGTTGCTTATCTGTACATTTTTAAGCTGTTGTACCCACCTAACGCCGTTAAATGTTCACATGCTTCGTGTGAATTTGGTGTTGCTAAACGATGTAACATGTATAAAATTTGTTTTAAACGAATAAAATGTGTACGTTTTTGTTCAATAGACTGTTGATCATAACGTTGAATTAAACGTTCAATAATTGAATTGAGTACAGTCGAGCCTTTTATGAGGCAAAAACAATCCCATGGATCTGTGTATGCAGCGAGCGACGATGATGCTGGTGTAGATGATTGAACAATAGAATGTTCCAGAAGATTAACAAAACTTGAAATTATCACTGGCGACGAAGATTGTTCAATACTCATTGAACGTAATAATACTAGAAGACCACTCTCAGTGAAACCAACAATACAGCAACCTGAATACAAAATCAAAAGAAAATATGTTAGTACAATATGAAACTTCTTCTGTAATACTATTCTGCTTTCTACCTGATTGTGTGTGTTGTACTTTAACAAAATATTCACATTTATCTCTGTTTGTAAATAGATGGTTTATTTTCTGTAATGGATATGTTTGTTCACATGCTCGAAATGTTAATTTATCAAATGTGATGAGTGATCCATCGGATAATGTTAATAATATTTGTCTTCCAAATTGTGCTAATAATTCTTGTTCTTTAATTAATAATTGACATTTATTATTAACCGTTAGTGACTGTAAACGAATTGCATTCGAATTGATCAACGTTGTCGATGCCCATTCTTGAGAAGTCCCTTAAAATATAAATCATTTCGTTTGACGAATCCAGGGACTAGTCTTTTTGATTGGATATCTGATGAGAGAAGGTTCTCACTGTTTTTTGCATAAAACACATGTAGACATATATTATAGGAACTGCCGATAGATCTCTACGTTATATCGGTTTCTAGAAGAGCCCGTCTCCAGATCAGGTTATTTCTCGAAAAGAATTTATTCTAAATTTGCTAGTTTGTAGAGGACAGCGAATTACTATGTGAAGATTTTCATGTCTATCCCATGAGTTTTGATAATGCTATAAGCAGTTTAATTCCAAATACTACTGAAAAGCTAAAACTGTTGAAAAAACGACGAAAAAATTAGAAAAAACAAAAATGTTGGACAAAACACACTTCTTAAAAGAGAAACTAACTCAGATAATTTGATTATATCACTACCGACAATTAAACTGCATATAACTCTGTCAGAACCCATCCGATAGTCATGAAAATCATCTCGCTTACGTGACTCAACGTCTTCTACAAGCTGATAAAGTTAAAATCGAGTTTTGTCCAAAAGCCGTTTAGACTTGAGACCAGCTTTTCTAGAAAGGGTCTCAATGGCCTTTGAGCAGTCCCACTACAGTATTTAAAATCAGCACCATTGATTACATATGCCTACATGTCTTTTATGCAAAAACGGTGGGACACTTAATAAGAGTAGGTGAGTTTGAGTCTGACCTCACCTTTCCCTTCTTCGTGGGTGTTAATCCTCTTTCTATTCTTTTTTCATATAAAGGCTTTTTTACTGGCATCCTTTCGATTTTAGATGCACAGAGAAAGGCAAAATTTTTCAAAATTGAAGTACTTGTCGAGTATTGCTCACACTTACGCATCTCTCAATTAATCAATATAAATGTGTGCTACGTTTGCTCAAGAGCATTCATAGAATTTTATCTCTTTGGTTAAATAAAAATATTCTCCGTGACACAGTGATCAAAGAAAGATTCTTAGCGCACCTGATTCAATATATTCGTATAAATCCAACGTCCATGTGTCGCTATCTGTTGATGACATTAGTGTCAATAATACATCACTAGTCGATGCGGTAAAACGTTGAAAATAATGAATATTTTCTAATATACCATAAGAGGGTGGAATACGAAAACCACGACGTTTAAATGAGGAATAGGAGATTTTTTGCTCCAATGATTGGTATTGTATCTAAATGAAAAGTATAATAATAAACTTTTTGCGACTGTTAGTTTAAAGAGAAAGACAGATCGCTTACTACATATAACTGTATTAATGCTCCAACTTGTTTATCACTGAATACAACGTTGAATCCTTTCTCAGTTGGCACAAGATCACATAATGAGGCATTTATGAAGTCAGAATTCAATGGATATTTAAATGGAGATATTTGACGATTGATCGGTAATGAATGAATCTAATCTCCCAAATAGAAATTTCAAACCAACAACTATCAAAATCAAGAACTAGAAAGAAAGAATACCTACCATTCCTGAATTAGTAATAAGTACAAAACATCCAGAATTTAAACCATAAGATGCCAAGTGATTCTCTTTTTTTAAAAATTCATTATAAAATAACGAATCTTTTCGATCGAGATTGATAATTATCTAAAGAAACAGAGCGACATTTTTTCTTATAAAAAATTTCCATTGTACACAGGTATAAACCAATTGATAAAACAAACACTTTTTCATCTTATTCTCATATATAGACGCTCCTGTTATGACTGTTCTCGTTATTTTACATATATTTTCGGTAAATAATATCATTCTTTTTCCTTAGGTGCTCTTCTATCTATCCATGAGAGATAAAACTAAAAGTAATTCTTAATGGCTCGTTTCCATACATCGGGGCAATTAAAGATATCAAAAAAAGTACTAGCACGTGCTGGTCTCAGATTTTCTAGTTGAATGCGTCTGAATATCCAGCAGGTTTCACAGTGAGATTGGAAAATATTCACATACCGGTTCTTTATAATGGATGTATTTTGCTATCAATATATCTTCGGCCGTTTCATAATGGTAAACCAATTCAACCATATTGACACAACCATTCTAGAGGTAAAGAAATCTGAACAGATAAGAACAGATTATTCTTACATTATTTCACTTACTTTTGATTTAAATATTCTGCAATTTCCGGATTGTGTACAAACTAACAAACATAAACCATCTGAACTCCATTCAATACTCACAATGGGAACATACGATGTAGTTATTAAATTCAAATGCCATGGTTGCTCTAACGCCACAGCGTAAACACAAAATGTCGTTTTATTTTGATGACTAAATAACATTAAATTACAGTAATCAACATTAAGAAAACGTATAAAACCTACGATGCGCATGTATTTAGATTATATTTAAATTTTGTTTCATCGTCTAAATAATAGCAGGAAAATGCTAATACATTCAGGGATGATACGTCCGACGATAATGTATACTGATATTCAAGACCATCGTTGTTTAATTTTAAATCAACAGCGTAGACGACATCCATATCAAAACATAAAATCTAAAAAACAGAATCAACGTAAAGACAGTAGCGTAACTAGAGGGGGAGGGGAGCTTTTGGACCATAGTCCATTGCGATTTGAACCTTGACCCAATAAGATTTTGAACTTTGTAATTTTCCCAGCTGAAAGTTGGAAAAAAGGTTTTTTGGGCCAGTCTTTACTCGAATTATTATAGTGTGACCCAGTCATTTTTTTCGAATTAATGGAGTTGGCCCAACGGTAAAAAAAATTCTAGTTACGTCGAGACTAACTACAAGTACATAAAGTGATGCGGCATAAACTAAAAGTCAGGCGACAGATAGTTATAGTCATTTTAAGGAAAGCAAAGTAAGTTAAAGGAGAGACTATTGAATAAAACTGAACGTTGTCAGAAGTTATCTGGCATGGTACGTGGACAGAGATGCTCTAAAATGAAAAGTATAAAAGAATAAGCCCCTTTTTTCCATCTCAGTGCACGTGTCAACAATAACTTCTCGCACGAACAGCCACCACATTGTAAATTTCGACTTCACCGAAGTGGATGATTGTGTCATTCACTTTTCTGGGGTGGCAGTCGGAAAAATGGATGATTTCTCTTTGTTCAGATATAGTCGTCCACTCTGGTGGATGAAAAGTGTTAACCGATGGATAGCAGATAATCTACTTTGTTAGCTGCTAATGATCCTACGAGCATAAGTCATCCATCCGTTTAACACTTTTCATCCGCCAGAGTGGATGACTATATCTAAACAAAGGGAAATCATCCACTTTTCTGACTGGCATCCCAGAAAAGTGTGAAGTCGAATGTTATTTATTCTAACCCAAATTTACGATATAAATAAAATTCATCTTTTCGTTTTCTTGTGTAGTTGAACGAAAATCAACTAATGTCTATACAGTTCAGTAGATGTCGCGTGATGCTAAATATCGTCTTTGGTATCGAGTATTATATTTAGTAAAAATATTTTTCTGAGAAAATTTCACAACTACACCCACGGCGATGATCAGATCAGCTATCTGAATCGGAAGAAGCAATCTATCAGCTGAGAAGAAACTTTCCTAGATCAAACGGAACGGTTAACACCGTTCATCGATAATAACTTGAGTAAATTGATCATGATGGTAAGCAATTATCATTCATTATTATTTATGTATAAAACTACTAGATACGAGAGAAACTCTACAAACATACAACAGCATATTTTCAATCTTTTTATTCGAGTTAGTGCTTCGATGAGTGAATAATGCTCAACAATATAGCCAACTTGATTCATACTATTTGATTCTCTTCTCGCAATATCATTCTTATCGATATTTATATTTCTACCAGAAATAAATTAAACTTCGTAGAAAACACACAGAATATATGGTGCACCTCTTTTATGATTGTTTTCATTGGGCTCAATGTATAGTTGTTCCGGTGATGAATAGCATGATTATTATTATATAGTCATATCAGATTTGACGGCATCGATATTTGGGTGGAGAGGTACTATCGTAAATCTGCGATAAGAAAATGTTGAACATAAGAAGCTTTCTCTCAATGAATAGCACCGTGTTCGTGGTGTCACAATCGTATGAACATGAATCGTCGGTCTTTGTTGAAAAGATTCTAAATAAGACGCTAGGCTTTGGTTTACTTCAAGTATAAGAAGTAGAGGCAGATGATGAATCTAATATTACATACGTAAGTTTTCGTTGATTACGCATCTTCTTTTAACGTACAAATCATAGTATGGTGTTTCAAATGCTTGTCTGACATTTCTCAATAAATGACATACACCATGATGAGTGATCGTACCACGAAACAGAAATCCTAAACAATGTCTGGAACGAAATTCTTGTAGAATAAATAGAAAATTGATTAAAAATAAGAGCTTCTCACCTTGGTGCATCACATAATAATTTACACTGAACATAGCTAACATGTGTACCGACATATGTTTGAGCAATATCATTTTTTTCTGTACCACGAAATGGATAAACACGATAAGAACAATTATTTTTAACTTCGGATATTTTTAACGCTTTTTTGTCTGAAAAATCAACAGCATTAACAATTGAAGAGCAGTATATTGAAAGATTACCATTAACTAGACTTCGAACAGGATTTTTGTTTTAGCTCAGAGTTTTTAGAATATATCAGCAAACTATTTTTATACTGCCACATATAGATTTTTAAGAAGATACAAACTTTACAATTTTTTCAGAACTTTTCTCTTATTATAATTTGTGCTTTTTAACAGCATTCTAACCGTAATAAGCTGCTATAATTCAATATTAAATATTTCTATATCTACTTGTGCATGATACTTTTGTATAAACATGAAATGATGAATTTGGTAACAAACGTTTGACTGCAGTTCGTTGAAAAAAACGACACGTTCGATCGTAAACATTATATTCGAACACGTTGCATGCTGCATGATCGCTGCACATCCATTTACAATCATCAACACCTTGATCACGCATTATTCGCAATGGTTGACAACAAGGTCTAAATGAGAGAAAATAGAGAAAGTATTTAGCAAAAGAAGTTGACATTATTCCATGTTGATGACAGGAATTGGCTAGGAAACAGTGGATGATATTTTTTATTTAAAGTATATCAAAACTAGGGAAAAAGCTTTACCCGAAAAGAATACCTTTGACAAGATAAACATGTCACACTTACTAACATTCGATTTTTATATAACGGAATATAACCTTTGCATATAGTCAATACTATTGGGACGCTAAATAGTTGTAATAAAATAATAATTAACACTAGAACATGAGTAAACAGTGAACAGTAATTTAATAATTCGTACATTTTCTCAATACTACGACAATTACATTGTTGACAGTTTAGAAATTTTGTTGAAATTCGTTGTTCGTGTTTTACGGTCAAGCTTCTTAATACCATTTATTTTTATTTATCTATACCTGAAATTCTTTAACCCAAATTGTTGAACTATAAACTGCAAGAAGGATCAAACATAAATAAGAATGGCGCTAACTAAGAGCCATCATAATCATTATAACAAAGACACAATCTCTTTTCACGTCGATCTAGGTCACAAGAATAACGCCTGTTTGAGACAGTAAACATGTATTAATTCTAATCAAATAGCAGTTGTAAATAGAAATATTTGTCATATTCAACAGTGTTTGGATCAAGTGTCCATTGACTGCTTGAAATATATATAAAAGAATGAAAAGGAATGATAAGGAAAAAGTAGCTATCTTAGATTCAAAATAGATTAAGGTCAGTGAACAAATTTTGTCTATAAAAATGTATTATTCATGAAAAACAAATATTTATTATTAAGTTCATATTAAGTTTACATTTAATAATAATACAACAAGCGGTTTAAGATTTAATCATTTTCATCTAGTATCTTTCAGTTGTATTTGAAAAAAACATCGCAATTTATTTGATCATTGACTTTCAAGAAAAAAGAAAAAGTCGTTTGACATTAGACGGACAAATCTTTCCCGATATTTTGTGAAAATCTGAGCTTCAGTTTATACATACTAAGTTCAGTGACTCGTTCACATTGTTGACAAATTCTCACAGAATTCTTTTTTCATAATGCATGAAAAAGTAGATGAGAACAATGTTCAAAAGCGTTCAGAAGTTTGCAATTCATTTCAAGTAAGTAATAGATTGTGAGTAATAGCCGATATGCATGTTGAGAGCTAAACCGATCTACACCGAAAAAGCAATAATAGTATGTATTATTTTATATGTATTAGCCCAATGGTTGAATAAGACACTTCCACTTTTAGATAGTATGTTATAAAAAAGTAGAATTAAATCGCTCGTTTCTTCAGTAGCGAATAACTGAGAAATTAAAAAATTCTGATAATCGATCATATTGTTACTTTTGTGCATGCAAAGACGAAAATTCCGAATTGAGTTTATAAATGAGAATGATTTCAATCATAAAAGCTTTAATTTTGATATTTTTGGAGTTGCGGTTGTAGTTACTGCTATTTCTGTTTCATTTTGTATTAGATTAGCAGACAAATTTGCTTTTTGTAAAAGGTCAAGTAGAAGTTCAACAACTGTTTGAGCAAAACGATGTTGATCAATAAAATCAGGATCTTCGGATGAACTAGTCGTTGTATCTTGAATAGTAGCAGTGATGAGATTTGGTGTTGATGTACGATTGGTCATTGTTGAGTTTGAGTTATTACCAATTTTAATATCAATTATTGTAGTATTGCCTAGAAAAAAAACAGTAGGATGATAATTGCTGCTAAAAATGATGTGAAAATAAATACGCAGGCAATTAATATAGCAGTCGTTTTCCAATAATTTACATGGGCTGAATTACACTTGAATGTGTATAATAATTCACTAGTAAATCGAATTGTTTCTTTCATTAGCAACTGTTGCATTCGAACTTAATCTCGAGGGTTGTGGAGAAAGAATAGCACATAGAAATGTTAAAGATCTACACGATCACTCTTGATGGACTATGGTCATGTACGTCCAAAAGGCTCTACGGATAGGCAAAAAGTGATTCATAGTCAAAGGAACAGTTACATTTGACTCTACAAACCAAAACTCGATGCTATACGAGATTTAAAAAACAAGATATTAGGATTACTTTCACTTTGTATATTTATGTTTAATAGCTAAACGTTTCGGAGTATACGCTACCCCTTCTTCAGTAGCAAACTGAAAATTAATTATACTGGAAACTTACATCTGAAACACGAAACAATCGATTAGATGTGCACCGTTTCCGAAACCAATTTGTTTTAAACTCCTTGTTATGAGTATCAACGGTTAGAAGAATATCCAGAAACATTTAGCTATTAAACATAAATATACGAAGTGAAAATAATCCTAATATCTTGTTTTTTAAAATTCATCTGACTTCATACTAGCGAAATCAATGCGTGCTATACGAGAATCTCTTTCGCTTGTTCATAACGAGACATTTTTAATGTTTCAAGGTCTCGTGCGAAATGAGCTGTTGTAGTTTCGCAGGGGTTAGTTTCATGCACCACCATCAGTTTTATACATCAGTAAAAGTCGGGTAGATCTGTCTATATGTATCGCGTAGCACTACCAAAAATATTTAAAAGCGGTCGATTGTTCCATATAAAAACCACCGGAACATAATCCTCGCAGATCAAAAACGTTTTGAGGAGCCCTACCAATGCGTAATCTTCACTTACGATAAAGTTTCAAGCAGCGTTTCACAATGGCCTTTCCACTAGGTTTTTTACTAACAAAATTTCACACTTGAGGTTCGTATAATCTAACCTTAGATTGATGTTCAGCATTAACCATTACTCTCATTAATCATTATTCATCATTTTTGCACGCATCTCTGAAGCAAGATTTAGAGAGATTTATGAAAACTCATTCAGTCAGAACTCAAATATGGGCCTTATACAGGGTTAATCGAGTAGTGTATCTAGAATAATAATATTTCAGAATGTTGGTATTTATCGAAATTACTTACCTCCGCATACTCGTTCTCGATGACTTAATATCAGACAAAAATTTGTGGTAGTGTAGAATACGTGTTCGTAGGAAAATTTATAATCTATGATCCGGCAGCTGTTATGAGCCATATGATTTTTACAGAGAGCAGATGTATACGTAGTAGTGAAACCTGCTTAATTAATTTTTCATATCATGATCGTTCAGTATAATTTTATTGAACTAGGCTACTATATATGCTTTGCTTCTACATATGTATATCGCTACTTACTCGTTATTGTCTCATTTTGTGGTACAGTTGCTGTTTGCGCAACACGAAAAAGAAGAATTAGGCACCAGGAATACGAAAGAATCACCATGTTTTCTCAATTAAACGTGGATAAGTTCAGCATAAATTGAGGGCAGTTTTAATTCGATACTAGTGTAAAATAGTTGATTTAAAAGTGTATACACAAATGAAATGAAATACTACACTTTCGAATACCGTATCAGGTTTAGTATAACGAATATAGAAAAAAAAACGAAACATTCGTCTATAGAAACAACTGTCTTTGACCTCTTAATTTCAATCATGTATCTGATAGATAAGATTGTACAACAATTCTTAAATAAACGTAATATTCACAACATGAATAGGCATTATAAACAATACTACAAAAATTTTATGTAACAGTGATATAGACAAGTATGTTTTCGAGAGCCTAGTTGCATAGATGTAAAGAACAATTCATTATTTAAAACAAATATTTGTAATCAAAAGAAATACATTAATATCGAAAAGAGAATAGTTCTTCTACTGAGAAGAACACAGCTTTCAATTTTAAGTTGAAATATTGAAAAGAGAGTATACTAGTTTGAATTAATAAGATTTGCAATACATCAGTGTACAAACTAGGTGTGCAAAAAGGTTTTTTCAGCGTGTTAGAGTCGATAATTGAATTGAGAATAAGTTTCTTTACTCTCTCTCTATTTGGTAAAGATCCTCTCATCTTTTCATTTATATGGTGTTAACGTTTTCATTTGGTGTTGAAAAACGTTTGTTCAGATTTTGACAAACTTATATTTTTATCTAGAGATGCAAATTGCTGAAAATTTGTGAACACAAGCGAACGAATTGTTTTTTATTTTGTTTACTTTTTCCAACTATTAATAGTATGTAATCAAATGGACATGTGTTTCGTATCTTGAAATGTCAGATAATGACGAGACAGACATTTGTGTACTTACCTTTGATGAAGAGGTAAATTACTTAGCGAAATATTTGAATGTGTATCGTTGTCGACATTATATCAGAGAAGCTTATTGGTGCAATGATTATCAAAATATACATTATAAAATGATTAAAAACCAGCGAAGTCCCGTTGTTCGATTTGAGCTTAACGACATATCAAAAGACGAAAGTCATTAAGCTTAGTGTAGTCACGACTAATACAAATGGACTATATTTGGGCCGAAACAAGACTATTTTTGATGTGAAACAAAGTTACGCTATTTTAATAATAAAACAAGCAAGTATTTATTTTTAACTAACGAGAGGACCTCGCGAACTGTCATATCGCTTTTCTCAGCTAAACCTAGTGAGTTATAGTTTATCAATTATGTTGAATTCGAATATCATAGTAGCAGGTACCCAGGGGCCTTAAATGTTTTTTTTTATTAGCCCTAAATGTTTATTGTCAGCTCAAAGCTGCAGAAATAAGAAGAAATAAATTTAGGGCTTTTCTTGTAAATTTTATAATTTTGCAAAGAAAGATCGTGTAGAGCTGGTAGATGTCCAATTTTGATCAGAAATTTGCGGGCTACAATCATGCCTCATTAAGAAAGGTTTTGGTTACATTCTGAAAAAACTAGTTTTCCAGAAAACCGCTCTCTGAAGGCCCCTGGGCCAATATGATATTCGAATTCAGAATAGTTGATAACTTATAATCCACTAGGTTTGGCTGAAAAAGCGATGTGACAGTTCACGACGTTGTCTCGTAAGTGCACCGCTAATCCCTTTGTCTCTTTTAAACTTAAACTAAGAAAGTCAATAGCTTTGACTTTTGAGCAAAATACCCAACGAACAAAGCAAGAGAAGAGTGCATTTTCTCCAAAAATCAGTCTCTACGAAAATTTTCATTTCAAGCCAAAACAGACATTTTAATTATAAAATTTCCGACATTTTAAACCTGCTTTGTGTACAATTTACATTAATGAGGAGAAAAATTCACTATATTTTATTTATTGTGGGCACCAACAAACCCTAGTGAATAGACTCAAGCTTGAGTACTCAGAGTCGTGCTCTACTAAAAATGCGACAAGTACTCATGCCCAAATGTATAAGTAAGTCATACTGATGTTAAGACTACTGTCACCTGGGAAATCCTTTTGTCTGCGAATGATGGAAGAAGTAAACAAAAATATATTTTTCTACTCAAATATTTAGAAGTTACTAATTTCAACCAGAATATATATCAACGAAAAGTACAACAGAAAAATAAATGTTTTAAGTGGACGTGAGCGTGATCTGTCTGAAGAATAGCTTTACAAACTGCAGAAGGGTTGTCCATTGATATAATCAGACATTCATGCATATCGGTAAATACATATATATTTCTTGGCGAATAGTAGCAAGTTTCTCAACCAAAAAAACAAGAATACCATCCTGCCAACGTTTGATTTCAGATATCTACCGTATAACTATTATTTCACTTTTAAGTGGTTATCAATTAATTAGAAAAAACGATGGTTAATAGATATCTTTTTTCTATATACATTCAGCTGCTCACATGTGTGATCAAATAGTTTTATTAATTAACGCTTTAAAGGAAAACTCTAGTTTATAAAGTTTCCCAGGGCGAAGAATCTTGTGATATGATCTTGTAAGATCATATTAAAAGATCACAAGATCTTACACGATTTCATAAGAATCTTGGTTGAAGAATCTTATAAGATTTAGCAACATTTTTCTTGCAACAAGGTCCCGTAAGATCTTGTATGATCGTGCAAAGAAGTGACAAGATCTTGAAACATTTCATAAGATCATATAAGAATTCATCAGATCTTACAAGATTATGTCACTGGTTCTGTCCTACAGATCCCCTCTAGACCTATTTAAAAAAATATTTTCGAGCATACCAAGGACTCCGACGTCCTTAGAAACGTGTCTAATCACGTTTCTTATAACCATGCATTTTATTTGTGCTCAGTTGATGTGTAAAGTTGAAGGAAGAAAAATATTCTAAGTTTTGTCATAAGAACTATCTTATATATACTATAAATCGTAGCAAAATTTACGTGATAAAAATGACTCAGAACTTCTTGTAAGATCTTGTGATAAGAAGTAAATATTATTTCAACACTCTCGCTGACAAGCTTATATAAGATCTTGCAAGATTATATAACTAACATTTTTTCTACATTGATCTCGTAAGATCTTACAACAAGAAGTTACAAGGTTCCACATGATCATACATGGTCTTGGGATAAGATCTTACAAGGTCTTGCCAAATGATCTTGTAGCAAGATTGCATAAGAAATCATCAAATCTTATAAGATCTGGTAAGACGTCTTTCAGTTGGAATGACAACAAAACTATAACATTTGATTGAGTATCTTCAGGCGTGAGAGTGAGCGAAGAAACAACACTGCTAAAAAGTCTTGTATTGCGAGAGTTTAATATTGCCCAAATCCGTTACTCTATTAATGACATTCTGTTTTTAGCTAGAAATATGTGAAAAATTCAAAGAAAAACTGTGGACTGTCATTCTACTCAAAATTCACAACAAAGGTATAAACCCGAACGCACGTTACCAAGACTGACGTTAAGCGAAGTCTGTTTCTGTAGTAGCTTTTTAAATATGGCTGGCTCCGTATACAAGCTGTTTCGGTTAAGATACGCTGGGCTCTAAACACTAGTGTCAACGTAAAGTTTTGATGGATATGCCTAGTGTTTGCGCCTAGTGTATCGAACCAGGTATTTGGTCCATTTCATATCGCTATTGATTTACTTGCACTTATAAGTCTGTACGTGCGAAACTCTGAATAGTATTTGATGAAGATACAGTGAAATAATCCTTTCAGTTTGAAATCTATTTGATTGAAACCCCAAAGGAAAACTTTACAGACAATCAGTTAATGCGCAGATAACTACATTGGATTGTAAAACGATGAGTCTCTAATTAACGGTTTCAGCTGTGCAACAATGTTCATTCGAATATGTAATTTTTTTTTGAAACGATGATTTTTCAGATAGCAAGGAGCTTTCAGTTGTATAGAGAGAATATTTTTCTCATTCTCGACAAAGAGCCGCTCTGTAGATTGGTATTTATACTTTTGATAGTGAGCTGAACTGTCTGGATGCCACACCTTATCCGTTAGAACTCGCATGCTGTATAGCAAAAAATGTTGCATAAATAGAAAATAATGCCATAATTCCAACTGTAAGAAATATTATAAAGACAAACATCCATAGTGGAAATCCACAATAATGTACACACCATCTACAAGATATTTTACCTCCACACTTTTCGTCGAAGCATTGATTATCACAACATGATAAACACGTCCACAATATTACTTGTTTGAAATCGCTTCGTTCAATTAAATATTTATTGACAAGTCGAGTTGAACCAATATTATACGCTTGTTTAACAGCGTGTTCGGGAACATAATATGTAGGACGTTGCGTTTCGTGAGGTGGAATTGTTTTACGTGGCTTAGGAACGGCGGATGTTGGAGATGATTGTCGATGACTATTAGGAGAGACATGAACTTGAACAAGCCGTGGATTAATAACTGATGGCGAACGATGACGAGGAGGTGGAGAGTCGTTCGGATTGACTCGTCTGACTTTTCGTACAATACGATAAGCTGGTCGTTCAGGCGAAACAACTTTATACATGAACAAACTATTTTAACGAAAAAGCTATTTGCTACCGTTGGATAAAATGTGTATATGTTTACAGAAATGAAAAATGTGTATAAATGGAATTAAATTCCACTTTTAAAATACCATTGTTGTGCGTTTTTTCGTTCTATAGGTATAAATTGAGAGATGATTTAAATGCATGATTACTTTTAACCTAAACTACTTGGATTCAGAAAGAATGCTTCAACATTTGTCGGCATTGTCACTCATTTCTTAATTTATACCAAAGCATTTATTTTTCTGTTGTACTTATATCAACTGGTTGTGTAAAAAACAATACATCAGTGAGAACAAAAGAAAAAGTAAGAATGACGAGAACCACATATCATAATCGTTCTATCTGACCATCTTATTTTCTACCATCACAATGCTTTACCGCATCACTATTACTGTCAGT